AAACATATTACTGGGTGCAGACTCTGAATGATGTCATAGATTTAAGGAAATCATGAAGGATTCAGTGTTAGTACTTCACAAATACGGAAGATCATTCTGTAATGACTTCTGTGCAGCTTTGGCTTTAACTAGTTTGATGAAATCTGCTTTTCAGATTTTTTTTTTTCCCTTTTTTCTGAAGCTGCTACTTCAGTTCCCTGAGTCTCCATTCCTGAACAGCTGCCCTGTTGCTTTGCAAGGCTGCAGAGAAGAAAGTGGAATTGAGTTATGTTTGAGCTATGACAATATTTAACAACTTCTCTATATAGTGTTTCTGCTACTTGATAATGTGAACGCCTTTGAAGTGGTTCTGCCTTGCTTGCATCTGATGTGCTTGCTGCAGGAACTGCACTGCGTACAAAGAAAGCAGCTGGAGGTTGCCAGTGCTGTGAACAGTTTTAGTGGTAAGATGGTTACTTTGTTCATTGTTTCTGTCCAATTATTGAGAAGACCTATGTGACCTACCACCTTTATGCTGGCTTGTTTTAGCTGTTCTGCAAATGTGCTCGGGGCAAGTGCAAATCTATCATGGAGGGATGGATCCGCGTCCTTTGCCACACAGGGTCTATCTTCAGCCAGTGTGTTCCAGCTCAGAGATGGTCTGTCTGTAATTGTACCCTTAGATGCGTGTTGCTTTAGACTGTTGGATCTTTTGTGGCTTATTATGTGGATTATTATGAATTTTGATGCAAATTTTGATTCCTCCGATTAGAGCACGATGCGTTAAATAAGCAATGATTACTTTCTTTTTTAAACAGCTCAAACCACTTCTGTCCCATGTTTATTCTTTATGTGCAGGTTTAAAATTCATTTCTATTTGGAGTAATGTCCAGTTTTTAGTAGGCTTGTAGGCGTTCCAATTAGATGGTTTGTGCTGATTGGAAACATTATCTGTAATATGCACACAGAAGCAGCGCAAACACATTTTTGCCTATCTTTGATATTTAGGTTCTTCCTGCCCCCACATTTTTTCCTATGTGTCAGTACTTTGTGTCTTATAAAGAGAAGCTGTTTTGGCACTGGGTCTCAAAATTGTGAAGTATTGCTGCAGCTTTCTGCTGTTCAGGTCATTTCTTGCCCAGAGTAGGGTTTTTTGGAGCTTGGATTTTCCTGTTAGAGGAAATGATGAAATGGAAGAACTGAAGGCATGCTCTATGCTGCTGCATAGTGATAGCCACATTAAAGATTCTTCTTGCCAGAAATGTTGAATATCATCTGAGATGCTGCTCCTTATAAGCAGATAAAAAGGATTGAAACACCAACTCCTTTCCTTTTAGGGAAAGTGTCAGGCAGAAGTAGGGCTGGTTCCACCCAGAGCAATGAGTCTGACCCTTTCTTTTGTGATCAATCCCAAAACTGGGATTGCAGGGCTGAATTGTCCCAGTTTTAGTGTGTATTAGTTGAACCTAGATATATGCTAGAATGTTGACTTTCCCCTGAAAATCTCAAGAGTTAGCAGTCAGCAATTGTGAGTATGCTTTGATGGTTTCCTCATTTTCTGGAAAATAATCTTCCTGTTCCTAGAACTTCAGAAGGCCTGCAGAATGAGGCCAATTGATTCTTTGAACCCCTCAAAAATAAATGTGGTAATACTGCAGGGTCTGCAAAGCAACAGTCCTGACATGCCATGAGTGCTGGAGGCCACAGAATGTTGTGGTTTGCTAATCTAAATCAGTGCTGAAAACACTGATTAAATAATAATAATAATAAACTCCCTAGCATTTGAATAAATGGTGTTGTTTATGTCAACAGTTAAATTGTTTTGAGCAGTTGTGAAAACATTTCTTTTAATGAAAGTGTCCACTCTTGTGGGACAAAATACATTAACTTTGAGGGTTTTTTTTTTTCTTGAGTATAGTGAAATCTTTCCTGTGTAGACAGGGCTTCAGTCTTGCTTGGCTACGGGAGGCAGATTATATTTTGGAAATAGTGATGGTTTACCATGCTGAGATACACAGCATGTTCTAAACCAAAAACCCAGTTTTGCAAAGTGCGAAGCCTCAAGTGTGCTTAGGGCTGCAGCGTGAGGGCAGCCTGCTTCCTAAACTTGAAATGGTGGTATGTGCTGGCTCCTTCCCTCCTCATAAATTCAGCGTGCCTTGGAATGTCCCCAGCACTGTGGCCAGCTGTCTTCAGGGCTGTCTGCATCCAGTACATCTGTGCTCTTGGACTCTTCCTTGCAGGACAGGGTGGCTGCAGCAGAGTTCCCAGTGCATGTGGTCCCAGTGGCTGGCAGCTCACCAAGCTGGTAATGGTGTAGGAAGGCATAACTGGCATCATGCTGGGGAACATCCTAGCTGCTTCCTAGGATACTTGTATCCTAGGAATCTTGATCCATGGCTTGGGAATGTTTCCAAGCAAGATTTACCTTAGAAGTACATATGTTAGTCCTTTATTCTTCCAGAATCTTTATGGGCTAAAGCAAACCTACATCTCATAAGGGATTTAACACACTGTAGAAAGGCAAGTTTTTAGGAGAGAACACCACCTATTTTGAAAGGGGGCACAAATCCTTCTTGAGTCTGTGCCTCCATTTATGTGGCATTAATCACTGCTTAAATATTGTTCAGAATGCAGTTGCCTTTGCAGCCACCAGCTCTCCATGAGTCCATTGCTTGTGTTTGAGTGAACCCACTGTGTAGGTGTAGTAAACGCAACCTTTAATGGAAGCCCTGTGGATGGAGATTGGATTTGAGATGTGTGTTTGACTTACAAGAGCTCTAGTTTACTTGGATGGGTGACATGGAGCAGGGAGGTCTGGCAGCATGTAGGCAGTGGATCTTCTGTGTGAGCAGAACAGAGAGGCCATTAAATGAACCACAGATCTGTGTTGAGATAACTGTCTTTGAACTACAGGACAATTTCCTGCAGGCTGTGCAGTGTATTTGGATTTTTGGACCTGGAAAATAGTCCTACTGTAGATGAGCCAGTAAGCCATCAGTATTAATCCCAGCCCGGGCAGGCATATGTCCCAAAAGACAGCACTGTAAAATGCAATGGATGGGTAATGGAGCAGGTTTGCTCTCTTGCTAATCGGTTTTTCTGTGCTTTCTTTTCCAGTACCCCCATGTGCTTCCTCACCACCTTCCTTCTCTGTGGTGTCCTGGGTCCTAAGTTACACCTCCATCATACAGTTACTTCAGAGTACTGTTTGTCTTTTTATGGGTTTTGGACTATGAAATCAACCTTGATGGTTCGAATACTTACAGAGAAGAGGTTGATAACGTAAAATACTGTTCCTGTTTGGCATACTGTAAGGCTATAGCACTTGTGTGTGTTGTGAAGTAAATATGTGGCACATGGTGCTTACACCCCACAATTTTGAGAAGGTGGAATCTGTGTGACAGCATCAGCTTTCAAGCACAGAATCCATTGCTCCAGGGAGTAAGCTGCTAGAGATACCTGTGTCAGTTAAATGCAGCTCTGTGTCTGCTTACAGTTCTTCCAATTGAGCGTATGTGATGATTGTCTGACAAGCAGTAGTGGTGCAGATTTAAGGACACAGGGATGTTCCCTGATGTCCCACAGGCAGCCTGTGTGTCTTCAGGGCAACAATTCCAGTCTATGCATGGCTGCTGGCAGCCCACCATGCAGGTAGAGGCACCTTTGGAGTAGTAGTGATGGTCACTATTCCCCTTCTGCCCCCTGGGATTCTGGAGAGCTGTAGATTGCCTTAGAGCATCTCCCCCTTCCCTGGGATGGTATTTAATTGAGGTATGTGAGACAGGCAGGAAGGGGAGCAGACCCACTCCCTCCCTTTCCCTGTGGCCTGCACTAAAGTTTTTAAAAAGTGTCCGTGGAATTGTGGTGGCTATCTGTGCTAGAAGTGCTGTTAAGAACTGTGTCAGCTGGGGTTGGTAACTTAAATGTAAATCTCAAACTCTCTTTTTAAAATCAGGGGTGGGGCGAACTTCTTGTCCTTTTCTTTCTGTTACAGCTTTTCAGAGGTTGTTAACTTCAAAGGTGAAAAAGCAGCCACATCTCTGGTTTTAAGATGTTTGTTGCCCGAGTTCTCTCCATTTCTGAGTCTTGTTCTGTGTTATGTAAAATAAATAATCATTTCTCAGTGGTCACAGAGCACGTCTGTGGTGGACCTGAGGTGGGCCCATGCCTCTGAGAACATGCCCATTTATACACTCATGCTATTCTTTGCTTTGCCTCCATCTGCTGCTCCTTTCAACCTGTGCTTGTGTCACTGGAAGTTCCTTCTTTTGAACTGTTGTGCTTGTCACTGAGCTGTTTTCCAAAAGTTGTCTCTCATTTCCTCCTGCTTGATTTCACAACTAAAGTTTTGTTGTTCAGTAGCTGGGACTTAAGGTTACAGCACTGTAAATCTGTGTAAAACATACATCTTGTATGGACTAAAAAATAACAAAAATAACACCCATTACTTAACCAAGGAGAACGCAGAAATTAGTGAGAAGCATCACTGCAATATGCTTCTCTTTGGAGCCCAAGTTTTCCTGTACTGAGAAAAGCAGTAAATAAGAGTATACGTGGAGAACGTGGCACCTTGGAGCTAGGCTGTGATAGTTCAGTTCCAGATGCACATGGCCTGTGATGGTAATTTTAGGGCAGTTTGCATTGAACAACAAACAAAAACAAAAAAGAAACCAACCCAGAAATGACTCCTGAAAAGATAATTTTGGTACGAGCTAGGCTGAGGAAGTTTTGCCTGTTTTAAGGAGCATTGCAGCTGTATCAAGTACCTAAAGTCAGAATTTGTTCACCCTTTAAAAACATGATCATTTACTTTGAATCACGCGTTCCATTTTGATAGCCTCCTTCATATAGAAAATATAGCATGCGACGTCCATCCAAGTGCAAGCCTCCCAGTGCTCTATCTTCTATGTGGAAGGAAGTACTCTGTACATTTCTCCATGTTTGACATCATGGTGTTTTGAATAACCACGTTCCATATTCATACCGATTTTTTGTTTTTGTTTTCAATTTATGCACAGCACTTGCTCTGAAATTTGGGGACTGAGTACACCAAACACGATAGATCAGTGGGACACAACAGGCCTTTACAGCTTCTCTGAACAAACCAGGTGAATATTCTGCCCTCTCTCCATCATAGGACCTTGTGGGAGGGATTGGCTTTGGAGGGTCTGTCATGGGATGCTTTAGCTGTAAAATAGACTGAATGCTTCTTAGGCCTCTCATGGTACAGCATTTAAAGACATTTGCTTGCCAGTGTAGCAATCCGAGTATTCTCAGCTGATGTTTTGACCAATGAAATCCTAATGGTGGAATATTCATTTTTCACACCAGTTGAAAGAATGGGAAGACTTGTTAATGCAAGCTCTGATGGGATTTGGTATTTCTATTAACAACGTTGGACTACTTAATTCTTTAGACCTAATCTTACAAAGTGTTTAAACTGCTTTGTATGCCATGAGCTTTCAGTTAAATCTCACTAATTGGCTCTGATATGAGCTGCTAAAGAACTGCTTGTCAATTCTTCAGTAGTTAACAGCGGGCAAATTCTGAACAGGGTCTTTATTTTTTCATATCACATTGCTTGATTTGTGTACTGAGGTTTGTCTCCCATCCCATAACGATCATAAACATCTGCATTTGTGTAAGCATATGCAGTCTGTCTTAAAACTAGCAAAACGTTTTCAGCTGGTAGCAAGGCAGAGGAAGGCAAGAAGATAAAGCATGTAGCCCCTGTGAGATGTGTGTTCTCACTTGTTGCATTGCAGTCACACCGCCATGTGGATCCCTTGGGCAGCTGGCTGCTTAGAGACTGACCTGCAGTACCCAGGGAATTGTTAAGCTTAAAACCATAAAGCATCCATGCCACGCAAAGCCTCGAGGTTTAGAAACTGAAGGGACTGTTAAGTGTGTGATTTTTTCTCTCAACAAGTGTCTTCTGCATTTAAAAAATGTGTATGAAGCGATCACCCCAAATACTTGGCTGGAGGTAAAGTGGCTTTTAATGACCCCTAAATTCACTGGCAGTAATTTGAGCAGCTCAGAGATGAGTTAACGCTGGTTGATGCCATCGTTTTTCTCCCATCTGAAGCATTTTAACAAGAGCACACATGTCACTAGCAGCGTCAGTCCGCTGAATTCTGAAAATGAGCAAACTGCCCTTCCTGTGTGTTACGCTGTTGACTGAGCGGTTTTGAGGCAGCGTGCAGCCTGTGAATTCCTCTCCACATCTTTCCCATGTAGATCTCTCGATGGCCGGCTACAGGTGTCGCATCGTAAAGGACTTCCGCACGTCATCTACTGTCGTCTGTGGCGCTGGCCGGACCTTCACAGCCACCATGAACTTAAAGCAATCGAAAACTGTGAATACGCTTTTAATCTTAAGAAGGATGAAGTGTGTGTAAACCCATACCACTACCAGAGAGTGGAGACACCAGGTAGGAAGACAGGACTGCTTCTGGCTTTATGGTCTGTGTGTATGTGAGGGACGTGGGTTAGTGTAGGGGTGAGTTGGGGCTGGACTTTGTGATTCTGTGAGTGGGCATTTTGGTGATGGGTGGACGGTTGAACTGGATGATTTTAGTGGTCTTTTTCAACCCTAATGATTCTGTGATTCTGCGTACTTGTTCAGCATGATGTGTCAAATGAAAAATAGAGAAGGATGGTGTGTTCTTGTGCCAGGACTGCAAGATGATTAAGGATAAATATTTGGAGAATACCATCTGCTTAAAGTTTTTAATAGGAAAGGTACTGAAAAATCTTTATCAATGTGTTGAATACCCTGTTAAGTGTTTCCAGTAGTGCTAGCGATTTCCAGCTGGCTGAGGATGGTCCAGCATGAAAATGAGAACAGAAAATGAGAATAGTTCACTAAGTCATGTTCAAGAACAATCTGCTTGTTCTAGTAATTGGCAGTGCAATTGCAGTATTAGAAGTACTGAGACGCACCTAAAGAAATTGTTATATGGCTTAGATTTGTTTTTTGTTTCACTTCATAGAATTGTGAGTTTGGAGGATCCTATTAATATTTTGACTTCTTTTCCAGTCTTGCCTCCTGTCCTGGTGCCACGGCACACTGAGATCCTGACAGAGCTTCCACCTCTTGATGACTACACCCATTCCATTCCTGAGAACACTAATTTCCCAGCTGGGATTGAACCACAGAGCAACTACATACCAGGTATTTTCTTACCTCCCAAAGTGAAACAGTATGCTTAACATTGCACCATCCTCCTAAGTGATCAAATGAGTTGAAGGATGTACCGATAAATCAAATCGTGCTGATTTCTTTTATTAATTCCAGTGGAACTCCTAAAAATGAAACAGTGACTTAAAATTGTTTGATCTGTAGCTCATAATCTATAGAAGTCTGTCTTGTGTATTTGTTACTACAGTGTATGTACAGTTTTGCTGTTAATATTCAGTATAAGAGTATTGAATTAATAAAGAATTCTTCCTCCTGTTTGCTTCTTCCTACCTCAAGACCAAAAAAAAATAGATCAAAGTGAACTGCTGCAGTGCACACACAAGCCTCTATTCTTATTGAAATATGAAAAGAGTGACCTTTGTTTCCTATCCCAATTCCCTGTTTCATGGAATCGTAGAATGGCTTGGGTTGGAATGGACCTCAAAAATCATATAGTTCCAACCCCTGTGTCGTGGACAGGGTTGCCCATTGTTAGATCAAGCACTGGATCAGTCTGTCCAGGGCCCATCCACTCTGGCCTTCCAAGAACGGAGCAGCCAAAGCCTCTTTGGGCAGTCTGTGCCAGTGCCACAGCACCTCAGCAAGTCCAGGTAGATAACATCAGTTTTCTTCTCTTTGCCCACTAATGCCGTTGCTCCATCACAGAAGGCCACCAAATGGGTCAGGCATGATTTGCTGTTGGTGAAGCTGTGCTGGCTATCTAGGATCACCTGTTCATCCCTCATGTCCCTTAACGTGTCTTCCAGGAGGATCTGCTCCATGATCTTCCCAGGCACAGAAGTGAGGCTCACTGGCCTGTAGTTCCCCCAGTTTCCTGCTGCTTCAGGAAGTTTCTGGGAAGATTCAACTGAGCCAAGCAGCCATTTTTTCATAAGTGTTTAAGGCAATTATATTCCAGCATCCCAGTACTGAAATAAGCTGGTAATTCAGATCCTGACATGAGAGGAATGACTGCCTTTAAACTCAAATGCGTCATGTACATATTTTATCTGCATGTATAATACCAGGATGTTACATGTTTCCTGTAAATCTATCTGAAAGCTGAAGTAGAGCCAAGAAAATGTCAATGAATTTGATCTCTTTTGTTAAATCAATGCCAAATTTGTTGCCCCCATAAAGAGGTTGGAATTGGGTGATCTTGAGATCTCTTCTAACCTAAGCCATTCTAAGATTGTGACAAGATTTTTAAAGGGCTGTTCAAGATGCAGGAACTTGATGTTGCTTTCTTCATTTTTGTATGCTTTTTTGACTCAGTCTGAGGGCTTTTTGATGGTGTTTGTGGACTTTGCTTACTGCAAAGAGACACCATTTGGAAATCCAGGAAATGAGCTCAGGGAACTCTGGGTAGCTGTTGGCAAGAAGCCTGCTCAAGGTGATTGCAGGTACTCACGTGATATTCACTTCTTTATGCAGCTCACCACGCCTCGCCTCCTTCTCTTTGTCACAGACACTGCTCTTGTATTCAAGAATCATATCTGAATCTCAGTTTGTTTGATGTTGATAGCTAATCTTTGCTGCTTAGCTGGGTTCTGATAAGCCTTCTTTAGTCTGACAGCCTGCTTTGGAGAACCGTTTTCTGTAGCAGAAGGCCAGGCTACAGCTGTTGGTCTACAAAGAGATCATCACTTGTGTGTACTTCATGTGCTTTTTCTGGGCAGGTGGTGACTGCAGAGATGTAGGATAACCTTCATGGCCCTTCCAGTTTGAGCTACAGTGTCCAGACTTCTGGCTGGGATTTGTTAATTAATTTCCAGCTGTGCTGTTTCTCACCTCTGACCCTAAAATTGTATTAATAGGTGGAGGGAGGCTGTGTTCAGACTGAGTGGATATAGAACATAATCTGTGCCAAAAAACTCAAATTAAGAACTGGAAGCTGGAAGTGTGGGTTGGATTGGAAATTATTATTGACTTTAACCACATCTGTGGGCTTCACTATAAACAAAAAATGAAAAGATGGGTGCAGTCCTGTTTATCACAGTGAGTTCTATAAAAATGTTCAAAACAAGTGTGATTTTTATCATCACTGTTCTTGGTAGTAAAGATTTCCCTCTATTTTTCTTTTAATTCCTCACTTGAATTTTGTCACATCTATATTTAGAGTGAACTGAAAATGTAGTTCTTTTGGTTCAGTTTTATTTAATCTGGTGATTTAATCAAGTTTCCTCTTGCTTTCTTCTGTTATTACTCTTCTCCTATAAATCTCTGACGTGATAGTAGATACAGTTTTATTTTAATTCTGAAGCAGAACACTTTATCTTTGTTCTTAGTGTTTGGTAATACGTAATTAAATGTTTAAACTCTTAGATGTTTCTGAGACAATTCTGAGGTGATTATAGAGATCAGTTAGCAGTTACCACTTCCAATAAAGAAATTGACATTTTATTTTCAGTAAGTAGGAAGAGACTCATGTCCAGTTCAAAGAAAATTATTTCCTGAAAGGCAGTTGGTTAGCACATTATCTGAATTACAAATTAATTTTGAATGGAGGGAAGGAACAACCACAGTCTCCTGGGCTTTAAAGATATTTCTGTGAAATTTGATATTTTCTAGTGTCAAAATGCTTGTTACTGAGTTTACTTTGGTCAGTGATACTCCCATTTTTAATAAAAGCTAGTGATGAGAATAGATGGTTTTTGTTGTTTTTTTTCAATACAACTTGGGATTTGTCATAATAAAGAGAGCTTGTGCATCATAACTGATTAGATAATACCTTATTGTTAATGTGTGAAAGCAACTTTTAGGTGCTGAAGAAAAAGTGAATGTAGGGACCAAGCTGGAAAATAACCTTTAAATCTAAAAACTTGTAAGGCGTAGGAGGGTGTCTGATCTGATGGTTGTACTGCACGAAGACAGCTCCTGTCTTTTTTGTAGAAGTCACCAGATGGTTTTTTCATTTGTAATTCGACTAAATGTGAAAGCTGCTAATCACAATTGCAAAATTATTACTCATTGTAGTGGAAGTATGTTGTATTGCCTGGAAAAAACAGGGATATCCATTAATTGTGTAACATGTTGGAGCAACCGATGGGCGCGCAGGGATGATGCATTTTACATGGACAGTGGAGCAGGTAATGGGTCTGAGTTCTTACTGGGAGGGAGGAAATCCAGCAGAATGAAATTCCAGTTCAGTGTTCAGGTATCACACAAAGCATGCAGGGAGTTGACGACCAATCCCCAAATAGTGCATCGTGCAAGTTTCTCATTCGTTTAAACTATAAATTAAGTTTGATATTTTTTCTTTTAACAGAAACACCACCTCCAGGATATATCAGTGAAGATGGAGAAACGAGTGACCAGCAGTTGAACCAAAGCATGGATACAGGTAACGTTTCTTTTTTCACCACTTTGAAGACTTGGAATTGCTTGTTGTGGTCCATTCACATGTAATAGCGTGTCTTCAGCCCAAGTCATGACAGCAGCAGCCTTCTGTATAACCTGTTGTGTTTCAAATTAATTCTTGTTAGGGAGGCTACACTGAGAGATCTTCCTAGTGGAGAAGTGCATAAATAAATAGATGTTCACAGACTGTGCGTGAAGAGAGCTCTGCCAAATGCCCCACTGAGATGTTAATAAGGCTCTTTATGAGGAGGGCTAGGTTCCCAGGAGTCTGGAAAATTAAATGTAATCTGAATTCTGAATAAAGATGGGACCTGCTGGAAATCTGGTTACAGGTTTTCTGAGGGCTTTAAGTCCTAAGAACTCTTAAAAGAAAGCTAGTTCCTAAATAACAGTCATACCTGTCTGCCTAAAATAAGAAGAATATATTGTATATTGCTCTGAACCAATCTGTGTTGTTCCAACAGGATCTCCAGCAGAGCTGTCTCCCAGTACTCTCTCTCCAGTCAACCATAGCCTGGGTAAGCTGGAAACACTTTCATATGTTTGAGTGTGTGTGATGACTCTATTTTTAGTGTACTTGTATAGATAAAGTGAAGATATAATTTAGGAAAGTGAGTTTTGGTAGGAGACTATTGGGTTGACCCATGTAGCTGGGTTAATAGCTAATTAATAACTACCCTATTTCTGCAGCTCAATCTCTAGCAAAGAGAGTAAAACCCGTGAGTGGTTCAGTTTAATTTCTTCTTTACCAAAGTGTTTTTAAGTTACAGAAAGGCAATAGAAATGTCTCTCAGTGTCTGAATTCACAGTAACAGTTGCCTAATCATTGTGCTAAGCTAAGTGCAAGTGCTGGAATACATGAGCTGTGCTCATTCTACATCATCCCTTCTCCTCTTCCCACTCACCTTTGTGTGAAATACTGAATTCCATTCTTTTTATTGGGGTAGCTAAGAACAACAGCAAGCAGAATTGTAATTTGTGTAGCTTGAGGAGACTGTCATTTCTGGAAGAGAAGAACAGCAGGGCAGGTAGGCTCCTTTTCAGGCTCAAATTCTGTGCTAGCTTTATTTCTTTCTTAATTTTTTAGACTTGCAGCCAGTCACTTACTCGGAGCCCGCATTCTGGTGTTCAATAGCATATTATGAGTTGAATCAAAGAGTGGGAGAAACCTTCCATGCATCACAGCCTTCTCTGACTGTAGATGGCTTCACAGATCCATCCAATTCCGAACGGTTTTGTCTAGGTCTGCTTTCCAACGTCAACAGAAACGCGACAGTGGAAATGACAAGGCGGCACATAGGTAAAGATCTGATCTTTTTCCTCTTCTAATGCTCCAGGCTCCAGATTTCTCTCTCTCAAGGCTCAATTACAACATGATCAGTATTTTCTCTTCAATGATTAAGGAATATTGTTTTCCCACATTGCAACATCTTCTTCCAGAAATCGTATTTCATTTTTTCAGATTATTTTATTTAGCAGTAGCCACTGTTTTTAACATTCTTCTTGCTGCTACATCTTGAGTAGAACCTGATTTCCTCCACCTCAAATGGCAATGCTTGGGTAATAAAATTGTAGGTTTGAGGAAGCTCAGGATGTGTCTGTAACAAATGATGAAAATGGTTAATTGTGAGGAAAAGCAAACATGTCAGGGGTTCTCCCTTTTTGTAGAGAGTAGCCGATGTTTTGCTGGAAAAATGGTTATAAAGAAAAAAGGGGAGTAGACATTATAGTCTTTAAAAGACCTGTTAATTATAAATAGCTTTTGGAGGGAAAATCAATTGTACATTCCTTCTTACATGTGACAGAAATAACCCATGCAGATTTTTTTCACTCTGAGGCAGAACAAGATCACAATTCAAAAATGAACAATAGGATTTCATATTGGTTTCTTCTCAGCAATAGGTCTAAATGAAACCCCATTGTTTTTTTGTCAAAGCAGTAAAGCAAAAGGGATATGCAGTGGGTTGGGAAATGGTGTGGGTGCATCAAGAGGAAAGTCTGTGCTAGTGATAGACTTGCTCTGTTAGTTTTTCCCATCTCTTAACAGCACAAGACACTTCACATACAACACTTCACGTTGGCACACTTTGTTTACACTGAATCTGATCTGTTTATTTCAATTGTGATATTTCTCAAGTTCTCTCTAAGTGAAAAAGCTCTTGTGTTTGGTTGTAGACCATTACCTGGCTAGAAAATTCCGTTCATGCCATACTGAATATTATTCTGCTTTTTACTTCCAATACTGTGTGATCTATGAAAGCAAGTTAATGCTGTTTGGCTACAGCTGTCAGCCCAGCAGTATGCTTAACCAGATAACTGATTTCTGTTTTTGTTGTAAGGAAAAAACTTGGCCTTCTCTGAAACAAATTATTCCCTTGTTTGTTAATGTGCCTGGGTCATATCACAACGAGAGTTGCTTTGAATTCTGTTCCAGGGAGGGGAGTGCGTCTCTATTACATCGGCGGCGAAGTCTTTGCTGAGTGTCTCAGTGATAGCGCAATTTTTGTTCAGAGCCCCAACTGTAATCAAAGATATGGCTGGCATCCTGCAACTGTCTGCAAAATCCCACCAGGTCAGTTGCCTACTGAAGGCTTCCTTACAAAAAAAAAAAAAAAGTCTGGTGAACGGATTCACAGGATGTTGTTTGCTTTGCTTTTGGTACTTACAAAGGGTTTCTTCGTGGTTTTGGTCTTTGGTGTAGCTAACACCAGTATTTGTTAAGTGTAACTTTTTGATCTTTTCTTTGTAGGATGCAATCTAAAAATCTTTAATAACCAAGAATTTGCTGCTCTTCTGGCTCAGTCTGTGAATCAGGGTTTTGAAGCAGTTTATCAGCTTACCAGAATGTGTACCATCAGGATGAGTTTTGTTAAAGGATGGGGAGCTGAGTACAGGTAAGAAAAAAACTTTTCAATTTAGAGTTAACAATTTTTTCTTTCTCTATTGCATTTTTTCCATCTGTATTGAAATCTGTCCATATGCTACTGCAGCTGTGCTGTCTGTAAATTGAACCCATATTTTTTTCCTCTGTGTCAACTATAGAACTCGTCAGTCAAAAAGACCAGTAAACTGATTTTCATATATCACTCAAGTTCACTGAGCAAGGAATGCCATCAAAGTTCCCTTCATCCTGCTTGCTGGCTTACTGTGGTGAAACCATTGACAACATCTTCAAGTTTCAGAACTTGTTTTACAGTTGCTGCTAGATCTACCATCTCTGTGCTGTTTGGTGGGGAGTAAAATGAGTTTATTAGGTTGTAGTGTGGGACGCAGTTGAGGAGATCCAAAAGAAGGTGTTGGAGTGACTCAGAGTGCAGCAACTGGAGAACATGCTTTTAGGTGATGGCAAATGCACTGGGACTTACAGTGGAAAAAACTTTGAAAGAGTAAGCTGTGCATTTTTGTAGTAAAATTGCTGAAAACGGTTGAGTGGGGAAAAAAAAAGTCTTTTATCTGTTCTTGAATACAGTCCAATTATATTGTTGCTTAGGACAAACTAAAAACCATTTAGGATGGTGCCTCTTTATGACGTAGGATGGCAGTTTGGAAGGAGGAGAAAGCAACTTCTAACTGAGCAGCTTGCAATACTTCATTATTTCAATATTTCGTTATTATAGGTGTGGTTTCAAACAACAACAAAAAAATCCCTTAAACATCCTTAAAAATTGTTTACTGAAAGCAGTCTGACATATCGATACCCTACTGCAATACAGACCATAACAAAAAAAGCCCTCATGATTTCTGAAGCTAAACAATGCCAGGTTGCACTGTAGATCCTGGGGTTTTTATTCCTTTCTTGCAGTATATCCACGTAAATGTGAGCTGTCAGCATGTGGGGGAGGATTTGCAGCTAAATGAAGCCAATTTTGTAAAAGCCTAATTAGATGGAATGAAAAATTTGAGTAATGGAATAAATTGGTACCTCTTTGTTAGCAAGAGGTACGCAAGGAAAAATCTGGCTCCAGTTTAAAGAACAGTTGGATTTAGCTCTGAAGGAGAATGCATACATTCACACATAATTAAATACAGCATTCAAATCAGAGTAGAAGAAAGGCTCAGGCAGTCAGATTGCATGAGGACGCCTTGAAGTGAATGGAGTTATGTCTTGGGCTAAAGCAGTGAGGAGGCTTTGGGTGAAGCTTTTACTAAGGAGAGAGTGTTGATTGTAGTCTACCAACCCGTCAGAGGTCATAGGATTAAAAAAGCTTCAGAGGAAACTGCTCAAACAGCACAGAATCTGCTGAAGGAATACTGAATGAGTTTCTGTGCATCTCTGCTGAAGTTGGTGCTGTTCTTCAGAAGAACATTAGTTAGAGGTAATTACAGCGAAGATTTAGTGATGCTCAGGTGAGAAATCTATGGGTAGAAGAAACCAAGCTTCAGCTTTGAGATGGCTGCAAAGGGACTGTCACTATTTGATCTTCTGCCAGGGCTGTTGAACAGACCCAGTTATAACATATTAAGGAAGTGTATTGTGGAACACATTGTAGGGGAGTTGACAGCCGTGGAATAATGAACTTCCTTCTTTGGGAGAGGATTCAAGACAAAATGGAATTACATTTCCTGTGGTTTAGATTGTTCTTTTATTGGATCACTTTGTTTTGGCACAGGCGCTCAGGGCTGAGATAACAATGTTTTTTAGAGTGTTGAGAGAGCACAGACCCCAGCTGCTTTCTTCTAGAAAATGTAAAACTACAGGCAGCTTTCAAAATCCATCTTCTCACCAGCTTGATTTCTCTGCCTTTTCAGTTCCTCTGCTTCTATAAACACATTTCCTTCAAGCGAAGGGTTCCAGTGCTGACTGTAAAAATGAAGGGGCTGGAATTCTGTCTGCTGATTTGCTGTCTTTGAATCTTAATGCTTCCTCACTTTGATTTGGGAATAACTAGAATTACTGGGAAAAACTGGCTTAGCAACAGTAGTCTTGCCATTCTTGTTTGAGAAAACTTCTGTGCCTCGAGTGGGTGCGGGGAAATAACAGGAGTTCTCAGGCAGAGTAGGTCCAATACTGATTTCTTTACTTTGGAGATGAGAAGGAAGGTGTTTGAATAACAGGTCTCAGAAACAAGGAGGATGGGAAAGTGAATGGAACTTTTATGGCTGTCAAGCTTTCAACTTCACTGAGGTGTTCGAAATGGTGTTTAATTAACAGCTTCTGTTGTGGGAAAATAAGGCAAGTTGATGTAAGAGACAAGAGAAACACATTTTTTTTTTCTGAGCTGTTTGCGTGAGGGTGTGCAAAACGCATGTGGAGCTAGAAATAAGACGACAGGAAATCAGAGATAAAGTTGAGTGTTCCTTTTGAGATAACATCAGTGCAGTGTAACCACACGCTCTGTTACAGTGTAGTGTTTCTGACAACATCTACCATGGTTGCCTTGTACGTCTCCCTTGACAATTGCTCTAAAAATGCAGATCTTACGATTACTGCAGCGTTCTGCTGCTGGACCATCCCACCTGTGCAGAGCTGAGTGTTTCAGTTTCTTATTTCTTCTAGCAGTCAGTTAAATTCAAACATGGTCATTATAATAATATAAACAGCTATATTATTATTATGTAATAATAAGTTGTAATTATGCATGCAGGCTCTTTGAAGGTGGAGATGTTAGCTGTGTACAGCTGTCTGTGACATCAGCACCACAGTCGGTGCACAGTTTTCAGTTTGACTTTCTTTTGAAGAATGAGGCATTTGGCATGGTGCTCATAGCACTTGCTTCAGCTCTTATTTTATTCTTCAGAGCAGCATGTCACAGAATCATTTCGGTTGGAAAAGACCACTAAAATCACCAGCTGGCCACCCATCACCACCCCATGCCCACTAATGATGTCCCAAAGTGCCACAACTCCATGGTTCTTGAGCACTTCCAGGGGTGGTGACTCCGCCATCTCCCTGTTGGAATACTTCTTGATGGTGTTATTGCTGCTTCTTATAGACGTGGGATGGCTGTTTCTTCTGAAGGCTGATGAGCTGTTGGTGCACTTGTCACAATGGTTGCAGATTTTAACCTTTGCGTGGCAGGGAGAGATGAACCCCGCCGTGTGAGGGATTGTGTGATGGAGAACCTCACGGTTTGAAAAACTGCCTTCTGACTTTCCTCTTCCACCTGATTTTTCAGGCGGCAGACCGTGACAAGCACTCCTTGCTGGATTGAGCTCCATCTGAACGGACCTCTACAATGGCTGGACAAAGTATTGACTCAGATGGGCTCCCCTTCAGTACGCTGCTCCAGCATGTCGTAAAACTCCTTCCTCTGCTACCAGTGGGCTAAATACTAAGACCTATCAACAGACTTCATAGAAAAGCTCGTCTATTGTAGTATTTGTGTGTGGTCCTCATGAACTCTTTACTATCCAAAAAAAGCTTTTTTTTTTTTTTTTATTAATGAAAAACAGCACTTGAGGTCTCATCAATTAAAGCACCTTGTGGATTCTGTTTCCTATACTCTGATACTAGATGAAAACTTAGTATATAGAAATGCCTTCTTCAGAGAGAAGAAGGAACAGCTCTAAAGATTCTTAATGGTGTTTTTATTGGGTATATAATTGAGTGTCCTAATGGTTTATCAATAACATGAATAGCTAAGTATACGTAAAGGTAATGTATCATGATCTCAGATATCACAGTATTGTGCTGTTCTACATTTTAGTTCCCATAGTTAGATGTTTGGTTTGTTTTTAGATTGAGGCAAATCTCTCATAAAATCTCAAGACTTGACTCCTATCTTCTTTTATATTTTTTTTTTTATATAAGCAGGTTTTCAAGTTGTCCTAAACATAAAAAGCAGACTTTAGTTGTATACAAGCTTAACTTTTTTGCTGCCTTCTTAAAGAAAAATCCCTCCCTTGGAAGGGAAATAAATGTCTGAGATTTACTGAAATCTCAAGACAATTTGTATATTCTTAATGGGGCCTAAAGTGAATCTCTGTACTCTAAATTCTGAGTATCCATCACACTAGGAGTCTACGTTTCCCTACCCATATGAGCTGATGCGTCTGTTGCCAGCAGTATTGCTGGCACTGTGTTCTTTAGGATTTTTTTGTACCTTGGATCACTGAAGTCAGTGCTTTTCTTTTTCTCATAGAGTTGATGATAGCGTTGGATACTGGATTAAATACAAAAGTGACTTACCCCTAACATCTGTGTGCTTTCAATAAGCAGATGCTACTGAAAATCTAGGGTTTTTTTTTTTTTTGTTTTGGAGCCAAACACTTTGAAAAATCCTTTCCCAGGGTAAACTAGACTCTAATAGGTTTTAAATAGATGCAGCTTCTTAACATGTTTCAGTAACAGAACGTAAATCTCTGATCTGATTAGCTTTGTACAGCTTACTGACATACCAGGTCATACTCATTCATTATGTCATAATGGGCCTTGTTATTAAAAGTAGTTGCTTCTGCAAAACCTTTAGGATAGTGGTTGCTGAGGTATGACCAGCGAAGAAGGGTTTCTAGGTTCTTCACAACTGTGCATGTTATTGTGAACCCTTGGACACTACAACTGCACCATATTAAAAATGCTCTGAAATATATTCTGCAGATAAGTCTGGGTTGGGGAAGGGTTGGGAAACTGTATAGAAGGGTTATTCTGACTTGACAAGTATACATCTTACTAACAATCTTGTGATCTAGCTGTCTGTCATTCTTATGTCACTGTGGCAGTAGCAGGATTGCTTTTGTCCTTTCCCATGGTTTCACGCGTTGCACCAGCACTGTACTTTGTAAGTACGGCTAGTGATAACTTGGAGAACAAAAACGTGGCCAGTGTTACAGCTTTTAATACTGACTGAGTTGAGGATAGTCGTGGATATTCTTATGCCGTAATGACTAGGACATAGAAGCAATACCAAAAAATCGAGCTTTGAAGAAGAGGGCCAACCACCTTTTGAAAATTGACAAAGCAGTTACCAGTTTGTGCTAGTTTTACCAGTAGACTAATGTATTGGTAGAACTTGTGAACCTAAGAAATAAGCTTCATGAGTGTTGCATTTGCCTAATATGTGAATACACTAATAAAAGTTTTAATTCTCACCTTGACTCCTTTGTCATTATTTACTGTATGTTTTCTTGTGAAACTGGGGGTGATTCTAACCAGCCCAAAGAAATGCCACGAATTTCCCACATGTTGTGGCTGGAAGGGTACAGTTTGGATTGTAAAATCACCTCTTGGGCAGCTATTGCGAGGATTCTCAATGTGTGTTTTTGGCTGCAGACTTCTACTTCAGACCAAGTTCAATAAAGCAGTTGCTTTTTTCCTACCACGGGTGTATTTCATCCTGCTGGCACACGTGTTTACTTTCACCTGTGAAACAGATAAGGCTGACTTGTCTGGGTGAAAGACATTACTCTGTGTATGAGCAGGTTGAGACTTGAACCAACTGGATGGGCTAATCCTTAGTCTCCTTCCTGTGGATTCCTGTGTGTGTTCTCTCAAAGAGCTGTGGCAATATTCCTCGTTTTGCTGTGGGCATAGCAATAGCTTTGGCTACAGGCTTCTCTGGTACGCCTTTCCAGCTGGCGTACAAGGATGCGTGGTGCTGCTTGCAGACAAGGCCATCTCACTCCGTAGAAATCAATTCATTTTTCTCCCATCAGCATCACTGAAGTACTCCTGCTGTGTTTCTGCCACAGCTTGGTGGAACGAGGGAACTAATCTTCATCTGGAATGTTGTTTCATTTTGTTTGAATCACGGAATGGCCAAGGTTGGAACCACCCTGCCACACGCAGGGCCACCAACCTCCACATTTAATACAAGCCCTGGGGCTGCCCAGCACCCCATCCAACCTGCCCTTGAACACCACCAGGGGTGGACGGGGCATCCACAGCCTCTCTGGGCAGCTGTTCCAGCACCTCACCACTCTCTGTAAAGAACTTATTTTGCCCGTAGTTTGTTTAAATGCCTTTGGCAGCCCTGGGGTAACTTGAACATACTCTTGTTTCTCAACCCCGTGCCTTTCTGGCTTAATCCCACCACTGTTCTGCTCAAGCATCTCGCTGCAGAACGCATATGGTGTGTAAGGAACGTGGTTGCAGCTCTCTTCTGCTGGGCAAAGTCATCACTTCAAAAGTACAAATGTAAAGAGCTGTGTTTTGTTGTGTTTTGTTTGTTTTTCCCACTGAGACTTTTGTTAAATAAAATACCAAGTGTAGAGTAAGGCAGCTTCATCGCCAAATCCTTCCAGGATTTGAGAACAATGCCAAACACCTGACGGCTTGCACCTTTAAACTGAGAGCTTATGATTGAAAGTCAGCTGTGTGTTTTCCTGTTGCTTTAGTGCACGGTGCCTAAGGAGGTGGTGAGCTCTCTGCATCAAGATTCCTCTGCTGGTATTTTAGCATCTTGTGCAGAGCACTCCCACCTCCTTTTGCCTTCCAGGTGCTATTGTACAAGCCTACAACGTGGTGGGAGCTGTGGCATCTTGTTCTTACTTGGGGCACTGTACTTAACTGGGGCTTACCCACTTTGGGACTGACTGCAGGCAAACTGTAGTTTAGCTTGCATCTCTGCAATGATAGTGGTTCTGAAATGCTCAACAGCCAGAAATCACTCTTTCATGATTTCTGGGGGTCCCTTCCAAACCCTGCAATTCTGTGATCACAGCTACTGTACTTCACTAATTTTCCTGTGCCCAACTTCTTGTGTTGCAGTGGGAGGTGTGATGTTTGGGCCTTTGATAGTCATCTGCCTCCAAATTGTTGGCACGCTGAACTGAAAGTGTTTTGTTTGAACCTTCCAGCTCGTCATGCTACATTGTGGTTATGGCTTTTTTTTTTTTAGCACTGCAAACTGAAATTTTCCTGCAGCTGGGTTTTGAGTTAAAATATTGTGAAATACAGGATTTCACTCTGCTCCACCCACACAGTGTCTTACTTGTGTGTGATGCAGTGTTCCTCTTACCAAAACAAGGCTGGTTGTAACCTCATTCTGAGGCTTTGTTAAGCTTCAGCACGAGCTCTGAGCAAAGTGCAGTCTCTGATAGAAGGATTACACATATCCCAAGCAATGTGCCGTGCTAGGAAGTGCTTCTGGTGGGCCTTAAGGAATTACCTTGCTGCAAGTCTGAAAGTTTATTAAGAGTAGGAAAATACTGTTGAAACGTGTGCTTTCCTGTCTGGGAAATATGTGTTTTCCCAGCCTGGCTTGGAAGCAACCATCACAGACTCTGTATGTTCCTAGATACACAGGTGATAGAATTGTTCGAGTTGGAAAGGACGCTTAAAGGCCATCTTATCCAACTCCCTGCAATGCACAGGGGCACCTACCTGCTCCATGAGGTGCTCAAAGCCCTGTGCAGGCTGACCTTGAGCGTTTCCAAGGATGGGGCATCTCATTAAAGAAGGTCATTTTAAAATAGCCTTTGGTAATGCTAGTCCTCCTTTCCATGTCTCTTTTGCATTTATTAAAAAAGAGAAGAATCTTTAAATAATGTTTCTTCTCTTGGGAAAGCACTGCTTGAAGAGTGAGTTTCTAGCGGCGCATTGTCGTGGCTACAGAAACTGGAATCAAGGCTTCAAAGCTGGGAGCGATCTTTGATGTAACGTTAGCTGTTTTAACTGCAGTCAGGATTAAATCTAGGCTGTTGGCAGAGGAAAAGTGGATGGCAAATGATGGATATGTAAAGATCTCAGCCCTCAGAGCTCTTGATCCTCTTCCCTCATGCAGAAGATGTATGAAGGATGGCTTACAGGAAAGCCCAGTTACTTGTGGGACCCAGAGTGGCAATGGACACCCATATTCCTGCACTTCTGTTTGTTTTTCCTTTCAACTTGCAGCTCTGAAAAGCTGCCAGTGTTTTCTCTGCACTAAAAGCATCTAGCTATTTGCTTCTCTGAAGCTGTAGTAAACTGCTGTAAAAATACATGTGTTACGAATGCCTCATGAGTTAATTGAGCTGATGGGCAGTACGTACCTGAGGCTGCAAATTCCATTGTCTTTTAAAACTGATCTTTGCTCTAAAGTCTTGCTTGTTTGCATCTTCATTTTGAAGTAGAATTCCAAGAGCAACCACCACAGCTCCAAGCATAGAAGATTATTAAATGTAGGTTTGGCAGCTACGGTTTATCTTTGGATAAAAAGGAGGATGCTGTCCATCGGGCTCGTAATCAAGCCTTAATTTGGAGCAGAAAATTCCAGACTTCGTGGGGTTGTATTTCAGCTGCTCCAAAGTCCCCGAAGACACAAAGCAGTTTGACAAGGAGTAGAATGTAGGTAAACTCGAGGTGCCCAGATTGATTAATTATTTGAAATAAAACTGATGCATAATGAATTTGGAACCACTTCAGAAGTTCTGTCTCGTCTTTGTGTTCTTGAAGAGTTGATCTGTAGGTACAAGTCCCAGTAAAAATTCGTATGGACCCAAGCCAAGATGTGTACCAGCAGATTTAATTGTTCTTTGTGCTGCGCTTCCTTACGTGCCTGGTTCGAGTGTTAGCAAAGACTGGTGAAGCACAGGCTGCCATAGATGGAAAGGGGCTCAACAGAGCCCATCCGAGGGTTGAATGCTTACTATCCAGAAGGGAGTTTGGAATTAAATGTGCATCCATATGCACATGCAGATGACACTGGTTTCCTTTTGTTACTATACTGAAAGAATGGTTGGAGCACAGGAGCATGTTTTAAGGGAAATTAGGCTAATGGGAGCACAAATCTCATCTTGCACCTCTGCTGCCATCAGTATGAAGACTCAGTGGAATCCTCTATGAAGAAACTTCAGGTCAAGGCTGAAGAAGTGTCACAGCTTGTCCTGTAGCATGACACTGAAGGCAAGAGACTTTAACTCAGCACAGGGAGAAGAACGAATTAATATAAGAGGTCTACAAATGTTCCTGTGCCAACAGTTGTCTTAAGTAAGTTGTCTGAGGGAGGGAGGAAAGAACACCTTCCATCTTTGCTACTTATTAAAAAGGGGATAGGAGTGTTTGGGAAGGAATTAGTATGCACGTAACAGTCTGAGGTTTTTAGTTGTTGGGATTCAGAATGCTGAGCTGGAACTTGCCTAGCTGATGGACCAAAGCTTGATCTCAGGTGTTGAACACTTGATTGCAAATATGCACAGCATGTCTGTGTTGACTGCCACAAGTCCGTGGGGCCAGACGGGGATACACCGAGGGTACTGGTGGAGTTGGCAGAGCTGATTGCCTCCTGGTGAACCAGAGAGGTCCCAGGGGATTGGAGGTTTGCCGGCGTGACTCCCATCTACAGGAAGGGTCGTAAGCAGGATCTGGGAAACTACAGACCTGTCAGCCCGGCGTTGGTACCAGGGCAGGTTATGTAACAGATCGTCTTGAGTGAGGTCACACAGCGTGTGCAGGACAACCAGGGGATCAGGCCCAGCCAGCACGGGTTCACAAAAGGCATGTCCTGCCTGACCAACCTGATCTGTGATCCCACCTGGTGGATGAGGAAAAGGCCGTTGAAATTGACCAGTGCCTCACCACCCTCACTGTAAAATCTTTTTTTCCTTATATCCAACCTGAGTGATCTTGAAGCTGTTTCCCCTTGTTCTGCCTCCACAGACCCCGCCGAAGAGTCTTATTCCTCCTTTCCTGCAGCTCGCCTTCAGATACTGACAGGCATTCTCGGGTCTCCTCACAGCTTTCCCTTCTCCATGCTGCACAGCCCCAGCTCTCAGCCTGTCCTCGCAGGAGAGGTGTTCCATCCCTCGGGAATGTTCTCAAGCTGCATCAGGGGACGCCCATTTTGAAAAACTTCTCCCAGGGGGTGAGCAGGCACTGGAATGGGCTGCCCAGGGTCCCTGGAGGTGTTCAAGAAGCAGTAGATGTTGTGCTAAGGAGCGTGGTTTGTGGGGAAATACTAGTGGTAAGTTAATGTTTGGACTAGGTGATCTTGGAGGTCTTTTCCAACCGTCGTCATTCTATGATTCTACGATGTGTTGGCAGACACCATTGTGTTGGTGGTTCCATGGAGCTAACCAAGCCTCGTCTCCACTGAAGATGCTTTAAGGCAGCTCAGTCATCAGTTTAATGACAGGATTTGTATGCTGTAAGGAATGAATTGGGCACACCTGGG